AAAAAAAAAAGAAAACCAAAAAACAACCCAGCGATACCACAGGAAGGAAAAACCCATCAGAAAATCCCATGTAATTATTAGCAGGACCCTGACTTGGTGCAGCTGACACTGAGTTTCTGCCTGTRCTCTGTGCTCAGCCTGGCTCTGTATCAGCAGAGAGGTCTCTCCCRAGGGTAATTTGGCTCAAACATTAAAAGAAGTTGTCAGAGGGAAATGAGAGGTGAAAAAAAAAGTGGGAAGATATGAGAGAAGAGAAAAAAAAATCAATTTATAATTAGTAATTGGTGCTGGTTTTGCAAATCTATTACCAYGATGTGCTGCTGTTCCAGTGAGTTTTGGGGAATGCATTTCTGCCCCACAGAGCTGGGATCCCTGCAGAAATTCAGTGTTTTGTCCCTTTTGCTTTGTCCCCTGGCTGTCTGGGACATCCCCAGTGCTGGAAAATCAGATTTTCATCTGGCCTGCAGCCTGCAGCCACGCTCGGAAAGTTAATTATTGCGGGAGCACTTCCTCTGACCGCTCTTCCATTTCACCCCTCCCACCCCATCGTGGATTTCTGGTTTTATTTTTATCACCCAACACGCCAAAACTCAGCTCCATCTCTTCTTTTTCTGCCGCAGATGGTGAGTTCAGACTTWATTTATTAACCCACAGCACCTCCCAGCACTTTTGCCTTCAAACCCAACAGCTCATTGAAGAATTCCCAATTCCCCTCCAGCAGCAGTGCCACGATTTTGTTCCCTGAGTTTCACAGAAATCTCCTGGCTCTCAAATCCCTCATCGTCCTCCTTCTCCTCTCCAGGCCATCCCCTCCAAACAAATGCACTTTTGTGCTTTCTGGGATTATGGGGTTTTAACTGGCCCTCTGCAGATTTGGGATTTGGGATGCAGAGGAATGGATTTGGGGTGCTGAGACATGGATTTGGGATAGGGAGACACGGGTTTGGGACGCAGAGACATGGATTTGGGGGCAAAGACACGGATTTGGGGTGCAGAGGAATGGATTTGGGACACAGAGACACGGATTTGGGATGCAGAGACACGGATTTAGGATGCTGAGCCAGAGCCCCGGCTGAGGCTGAGCTTCAGACCCGTCCCCAGCCAGCCAAAAGGAAATTGTTGTCATGTTCCAGGGCTCACTTTGCAGCTTCATCTGCCGTCCCATACCCAAAAGWCTCCTTGATCTCACTCAGGCTCCGGCCCCGTAATTTATGAACGCTCAAAACGCTGACTTACGGGGGCAGAAGTTATGGAAAAATCCTCYCCGAACGTTTACCATTTTTTTTGCACATCATTTGAGGTTTCCTGCCCCTCTAATTTGCGGGCTCTCCRTTGGGTTGTTCCTTTCACGTTTTCATGGGCAGCGTCCAAGCCCCGGTGCGCCRGGGGGCCGGGATGCCTGCGGATCTGTCGTCAGTTGCCTTAATGGATTC